TGTAAATAATCTAAATTGGAGCAATGTGAGACAATATCACTAAATAAAATTTGGCAAAAGCTAATTTGAAAACTAAATAAAATTGTGTCAAAATATGTGTGTGTAAATTTCATGTATTCACACTACATATTATTTCACAGGCGTCTGGCTCTCTGTCGTCCACGAGTTCGACGGAACATAAATGAAGCCATAAGTTATAAATAAAATTCGCAAATTTCCTAATCTAAGGTTATCGTAGGGAAGAGTAAAGCCAAATAAAACAGTCATGGTTCAGCAGATACTATTGCTTCCGGTAGTATTCCTTCGCAGTTTACAAATCGTTCGCAAAAAACAATGAAATGCAGAGAGGGAAACAAATAAGCATTTACTGTTATTAAGTATATGTACTAGTCTGGTAGACCAATGAACCAAGTATAGATCAGTTTCGATCCTTTGTGATACCAGTTGGAGTTCAGTCCATAAGGAGTAGTCATCCTTTAAGATGCCTGCGCTTGACGTTGATTTCAATAGACTCTGTGGCCTCACTATTGATACATCTTCCAGTGTATTATACCGTGGGGACTCCAGATGATCCATTGTATTCCTGGTGCCTTGCTCGATACATTACCTACAATCTTCTCGATCGGAACCCGCGGGTGGAATAGTTATTTTATGCTAGCCCTATTTTATGCTAGGCGTAACGTTCATATTATTTATCGACGTTTTCCTACTTTCTAAATTTATTTTTATTCTTATTATTTTTATTCTTGTAACATTCGTATTAAAAATCAAACATTAGGTTTCCATAGATTTGTTCAAACACATTCACTAGATGAACTAAGCGCTTTGGTATTTTCAATAAATGAACGATCTATGGTTGCAACAAGGACACGTTGTCTTACACAAGCTGCTTAAACAAGTTTCTCCGTCGATTTCTGCTGTGTGCCTGTTATTATTCGATAACAAAGCAGTAACATTTTCCTAAGGTATGGCGACGGCTTTCACAGACAGATAACACCAATCAAATTTGTAATCAATAAAAATCACAGTAATAATTTGATTTCAATTCATTCTAATCAATACATAATGCCCTTAAAGTAAGTTAAGAGCAACTTTCGAATTCAAGAGCTATGAACATATCTATTTTATCCATATGTGCTTAGTCTCCCCATAAATTTTGTTACAAATTTTTCAATTAATACAGCGAGATGAACGAGATTGTTTTGCTATCTTTCAAATGGATATAGATTTCCATCTGTTGTGAGCTATTTGTTCATATTGTGTATTGAACTTTCTCTAAATCGTTCCTAGCGAGTACGATATCATCTCGGTTTGGGAATCGTCTAAAGAGTCTTCTGACATGGCCAAACTCGTCTGTTTTTTCGTTGCCGAAAATGTTCCTGTGACCGGTAACCCAAATATTTGCTTGGAGAAAGAACTCAATCTCAGCGATTCGGTTTTATTGCTCTTTCTAGCCATTATTTTCAGGTTAGTCAGTTCGACAGAATAAGTGGAATGCGGCAGTTATTTGAAGCAACTTTTCATTGATTTGAGACAAGCTTCATTTGTGATTTCGGGCGAAACGCACTTTGCAAAGAGGTTACTTATCGGCAAATTTTCGATTTGTACATCATATTTCGTTGAGGTCTTGAAGTGGTTGATATCACGATTAGTTTAGTTTTAGAGGCATCCCAATATCTTTAGCAATATTGATAGAAGAACTGATAGGAGTCTCCGCAAAACTAATAAGGCTATATAAACAACGCTAAGCAATATCAAAAGCTCCGTCAGGATAACTCGAGCTGCAGAGCTGAACAGATAAGGTACAATCTACTATAAGAGTATACAACTTCCGAGGTACATCGATGACAGCGATATCATTGGCAGAAACAACCTATTAGTTCTGCTTTCTCCAGACTTGATAAGGAAGCGAAAAAATTTGCCTGATAGTGAACGAGGGCAAGACGAAATATTTGCTGTCATTATAAAATAGTCCTCATTCGCGACTAGGCTATAACTTAACTTCGTAGCCGAAGATAATTTTGTCTATCTTGGAAGCAGCATTAACACTAACAATAACGTTAGCAACGAAATGTAACGCAGAATAACTCTTACCAACAGGTGCTACTTCCTCTCTCGACGAACAAAGACCCAACTCTATAAGTCACTCATCATTCATGTCCTGCTTTATGTTGCAGAGGCATGGACAATGACAACATCTAATGAGACGACGCTACGCAATACGCTCACGAGAATATTTTATGGTCTTTTGTGCATTGGCAACGGTGAACACCGAAGTCGATGGAACGATGTGCTGTATGAGATATATGACGACATTGACATAGTTCAGCGAATAGACAGACAGCACCAACGCTGTCGTTCGAATGGATGAAAACACTCCAGTTCTGAGACTATTCGACGCAATACCCTCTGGAAGAAGCAGAGGAAGAGAAAGACCTCCACTCTGTTGGAAAGACCAGGTGGAGAAGGACTTGGCTACACTTTGAATCTCCGAAGAAGTGGCTCGCTGTTGTAAACTCAGCTATAATCGCGATATATCCGCCAGTAAAGAAGAATAAGAACAGAAAAGGAACAATCTCCAACATCTTTTCGAAAGAAAGGTTCTGCGGAAAACGTATGGTCCTTTGCGCTTTGGCAACGTCGATTATCGCATCTTCTGGTTGATATTTTACACCATAAGGTATTAGGCATTCTTTACTTGTTACATTGTATGTATTTTCCCAATTGCAATTAAAATGAGGAACTCACCTTGAACCATCAGCGCCACATTAGTTGTGCCAACTGAATTATGCATTCAGTTTAAATGTATCAAAACAATTATTTATTTTTGTTTTCTTTTTTATTTAGAGTTTAATTTGCAAACGCTCGGCAATTTCACGAGCATTTAATGCAAAACTAAACATAATCTTTGGCATAATTAGCTTTTTGTATATTTCTTTGTATGTACATAAATAAAAAAATATATATAAATGTAAGTATGTATAATAGTATGAGTATTAAATATAGAAAAATAAACTTGAGAAAGGCTATACAAATGCGCTGTTTCTACTTAAAAAATATTTGAAATAGAAAAAAATTAAAAACTATTTGGGTTGAGTTAAATGAGTACGCCATGAGAACGAATTACATATGAGAGTATGAAGTGCATACTTTAGTCTATGTATGGTCATATGTAAATTAATGCAGTTGCATAATACATAAGTTGGTGGCGATGCCTACTCATGGCGTGGAGATTTTGAAAATATTTGCAAAGATGTTTACTTATCTTAATTGTTTAGTATAATCTAATTTTTTATTTTTTTATGTTTTTATATTGCACATAATACGGCCTAAAGCTAGTGACTTATAAAAACTGTATTAAATGATAAGAAAGTAAAAGAAAATGTCAAGTTGAAGCATGCGTTATACAGTTTTAGCTAAGACTGCGCAGAGATCAACTTTTAAAATTAAAGACTAGACCATCTCGTCCGTTTCGGTGTGGCTACAAATATACAATTTTAGGAATCCATAAATATATATACACTATAACTGATATGCATTTAATTAAACAGTTAATAATAACATATGATTAACCTAGCATATTTAATAAAAAAAAGTTGATTTGGTGCAAAAAGCTGTCTAAAAATGTTTACAAGTACGAGTGCCTATATGTAATTAAGATCATTGTGTGTGTGTATCTACTTCTAAGATTAATTTATGACTTCGCTTGTTATTCTAAATATATTTATTATTATGATTTATTTGTGTTTTTTGAACGTTTAAATATTCATGGAAAGCTAACTCAACGTGTACGTTGCATGAAATACTGTACTGTTGCTTAAAAAATCATTCAAAAAATCGCAGGTGAGCATTACACATTCGCAAGTGGAAAAAAATATATATATTACAATTTAAAATAAATTCACAATTTTATTTTAGGAAGTTTGTGCAATGATAAAGAACATCAGTAAAGGAGAGAGAGGTAGAGTTTGGAGACAATTCCTTCCGGGCTCGGAGTTCACAGTTCTGTTTTGCAGATTTTTTGCTACAACATGTCACTAGATCAGACATGTCATAATCTCATACAACATGTCACTACAACATGTCACTAGAATCACTCCCAGGCCACGGTTTCCTCTCTATTAGTCTGAAGTACTTACAGAAATTATGGCAAGCAAGTTGGAAATTGTAATTCAAACTCCCCGGGTTCGAATAATTTTGGTAAATATTTTTGGTATGAAACGCGTTCTGGGTCGACTCGTCCCGATAAAGCTAAATTTTTTTCAAAAAGAGTTTCGTAAACAGGTCTCTTTGGGCATGCTTGATCGTGCGAATTCCGATCTCAAATTCTTAAAGAGGCAACAAGTTATCAGGGCTTATGAGTTTGACATGCAAAACAAATCAACAATCATCGGAATAGAGGAAAAAAAGTGAGCCGAAACCAAAAAAAAAAAAAAAAAAAGACACGCCAAAGCCGCTCAACAATCGATTTGATGCTCAATGTTTTTTTGATTTCGGGACTGATGGTCAATAAAAAGTCATCTTTGACCGTATTGAGGCCTTTGCGTGAGAACATTCATCGAAAACGGCCGGAATTGTGTGAAGAACAATTCATGAATTTTGCACGATGATAACGCACCATCACATCGAACTTCGATTGCGACGGAATTTAAAGCCAAACAGGTATTGGTATAAAATCTTTTGAGGATTAGTTTGAAGGCGACAAAATAAATACTGATGAATAATTAAATATTTTGGGATTTATTTATAATTTCCGTGTACTTTTTTGACACAATCTAAATAAATAAATTTGAGGAATATTGAGAACAGCGCTGTTGCAGCACAGAGTTGCATTTCACTTTTTGTCAAATATGTAATTTTAGGTTAAGGATTCTTGGTGTATGTTAGGCTTTCAGACAATAATAAATTATTTTAGTTATTTGTTATTGTTTTAATAATTTATGTATAGAAATTAATTTTGATATTTATTTTAAAATATTATTTTCTTGCGTTTTNTTGCGTTTTTTTTTTTGTGAGTTTCAGTATATGAAAATTGGTTTGCGCTTTGTTTACCATTCAAATAGGGTAATATTTTTAACGGTAAATAAAAGTTTTACGGCACTGGGTTAAAAATCTTAAGATTAATTGGGCTCATACATTGCTTTATATTTAAAAGTTTTAAAAATATATACTTAAACTAACTGCATATACCCAATTATACGTCTATGAATTCCAAATATGATAATATGATATTTTAATTTTTTTGTTTTTTTGTTTTTTTGTTTTTTTGTAAAATTATATATTTATAGTATTAAACAATTTGATTAATTTGTTTGTATTACAAGTGCTGCCAATTTTAAGCAATTTTCTTATATGCTTAAGCAAACAAAGGCTTATGGCGTAGTTTGTAATGAGCTAAGACTAATCTTTTTATAATTATCACAATCAGTTTTCTACTAAACTACCAGAGTATATATTTTTCAGTTAAATAATTTTTTTTTTAATCAATATTTTCTTTATTTATTTTGTGTTTGGTCCAATGAGTCTCGCCATTTCAAATGCTTACAAAGTTTTAAGCAGCAGTCCACTTTTTAGTGGTTGTAGAAGTACTGACTAGATTGAAATTTAGTATTTCAAAATCACTTTTGAAAATCTTTTCAATTTTCACAATAATTCAGTCAGTTAATTAAAGAGGTCTTCAACAAATTCCACAATTCTGTGGGACTCTTTCAAAGTTCACATTCGACTTAATTTACGTTCTCTTCATTATATCAGATTGTTGAGTTACTTCTCACTTCTTTCTTAGAACTTTGTTAGCAATTGATTGTGAGCACGAAACATTTTATAAAATTCGAAATTTACTTTTTTTTCATCAAAACCAATTCGTAACATTCACGTCTTTTCTATGTAATATTTTAACCTCTGAATCTGGACACATCTATAGTGAAGCTCCAGAGTTTTCATACATACCAACAGTCTAACTATTTCAAATTTGTCATTGTCTTTTTGAACTATTTTCAACGTTTACGTGCCTCTGCACTAAGCCAAGATTGCATAATTGCCGGTCAACTCAAAGGGGCTGGTCTTTGTCGAATGCGTAAAATTATTTTTTGGCGAAAAGTCAACCGGTTGATCTTGTACCTGTTGTGGATGCTCATTGTCCGCATTACAAAATTGTAAGGGGATGTGCGTTGCGGCATTAGCAATGCCGGTGGGTCCAATTCCATGGTCGCGGTAGACAATATCACTTGGGGTTGCCGTCTGTATGACGCTTATGCGCTTAAAGCGCTCATATTCTTCCTGAGACATGGGGCTTGTGAGCATTGTATATGACTTCTCATGCGCCACATTCGTCTTCATGGTGCAGTTGTTGTCAGTTAACGTCAAAATGGTGGTGATTTCAAGTGGCTTGTGTATGGTTTCCGGCAGAATTTCACCATAGGTGAGTGTGCCGGCTTGACGTCGATCTTTCTCTTTCTGCAATAGTTTTGTGGCTAACGTGGACTTGGCAGAGTCCGTCAACGAGTGCGTGTTCTGGCTTTTAACGATAGGAGCGTTCGTCGTATTTGCTGAATTTCTGATTGGGCGCGCCTCACTACGTTCGCCATTACGTTGATGGTTTTTCATACACGAAGATTCCTCGTGTTTGTACAGATAGGACTTTAGCGCAAACGCCTTGCCACAGCGGGCGCAGGTATGAGGCTTCGTATTCGAATGGGTTTGTATGTGAGCGCGCAGATTGGATTTATCGGCGAAAGCTTTGTTGCAAACGCTGCACTTGAAGGGTTTCTCACCTAATTGATTAAAGAAAGAATGTAGATGATTATTAGACAGTATTTTCCAGATACTGGCGTGTTTTCAAGACTTACCAGTATGCGTTCGTATGTGACCTTGCAACAGCCACGGACGAGAGAAGCATTTACCACAGTACTGACATTCGCAACCCTGGTTATGTGTGCGCACATGCATACTGAAGGCGGGCATTGAGACGTAGACCTTCTCACAGTACGGACATCGTCGCGCCTTCTTGTCCATGATTGACCTTTATGACAGAATATTTGTAACTTTAATTACACCGAATTACTTGGTTGTAAAAAATATTTTGTAATACCTGTGTGTTTGTCGATGCCTTGCCAAGTTGGACGATGTCGAGTACTTCTTGCCGCATTCCGGACATATGTGTTCATAGTCGAGTAAATTAACGCCATGGGCACTGCCCTCGGCACCATCGCTCAATTTGCTGCCCTCTGAGTTGCTTGAATTACTTGAGGAGCCCATGAAATGTTCGTCACTACTGCAGCTAGGCAAGCTGCTGCACGAGTGCTCATCGTATCGTGAGTGATCGGAAATTGTAGAGCGACGCAACTTCTTCCGATCAAATACCTTGTGGCTATAGTAGTTGGAATCATCATCGGAGGACGAATAAAATGTGGTACGTTGCACCGTCAAAGAGGAATTACAACTATGATCATCCGTTTGGTTATTCTGAAATTCTGTGTTGTCGTAACGTTGGTTTTTAACACTGAACTCTTGATTTGTGTGCCACAAGCTATTATCGTAGTCATTGTTCAAGCTGTTTACTGGTTTTGCTATCGCGCTTGAGGGTTCTGATATTTGAGGCACGTTGGCAGGTTTCGGGGCTGTTGTCTCATCGGCAAGATACTCCAATGCCTTGTGACGTTTTATGTAGTCTTTAATTTCTGTTATATTAGTTGTGCTGAGTCGTCCGGCAGCCAGTGTAACCTCAGCCAACTGTGTGAGATTGTACAGCTCTTCTGGTATTGCGGTTGCTTGCTCTTTCGTCATTTTGGCCTTATATTTTAATTAGTTTCTGTTCTGAAAATAAAAACAACGACATTGATTGAGGTTTTTATGAAGCAATATTTGATTTAATTAAATTCTTCAATCTTAAAGTTGTGCAAAATGGAAAGTGAATATGTGTTGAAATCGCTCCGAATATTTAAAAAGTGTTTAAGTGCAGCCTTTTGGTAAAAATTACATAGGTCTGTCAACAAGAATAATGGGATGTGAAATAATATACTCAGCTTTTATCAAAATGAACTATTTTTTTATAGTTTAGAATTGAACCATAAGACGGCGCACCGTCTGGTTGGAAATAGAGATCGTCTGCGTCGATTCCTTTGAATTCCGGAAAAAAATAAGTCGATCAATATCGTGTTTTAACGCGCGCTATTGATGGTTGCGACGATTCTAAAAGCGACAAGGTTACTTGCTGACGAAATATTAAGTAAATGATTTTGCGATGAATATTTGATGAATATGAGCAGTCGTTCAACTAACCTAGATATGGCCATATATGTAACGGGTGATCCAAGTAGAGGTACTTTTTTCAAAGGCCTGTCAAGCAGTTTTTTTTTTTATTTTTATTCAGTATTGTTTCTTCCTCATGGAAAGGTTTTCGCCTGAACAACTAGTTGAACTATGGTCAACATAATCGGACTAAGCATACTATTCATAATTCCATCACACATCTGTAGATTGAGCATTCGTTATTGGATAATTTTACGCAGCGATGAAACTATATCAGCCGTAGCTGACACGAAGAACATGAAGAGTCGATTCAGCGCCGTTCTCATTACAGGCTGACGTATGAAATGATTTGGTGTACTTTATGTCGATATCTTAAATTTAAAGTGTACAAAATACAGCTTGTGCATTAATTGAAGCCGCTTGACCTTCTCAAGCAATGTCGCCACGCTGTATGGGCACTTAAAAAGTTCCAAGAAGATCCGACGATTTTTCTGGATCAATGGATATATAAACAAGCAAAATTATCGCATTCAAGACGAAGAGCAACCTGAAGAGATTCAAGAGCTGCCATTTCATCCAGAAAAAGGTGTGGCGTGTGGGCCGGTGGAATCATCGGTCCATTCTTCATCAAAAATGATGTCGGTGAGAACGTAACCGTCAATGGCGATCATTATCGCGCCATGATAATCGACTTTTTGATGCCTGAAATTGAAGCTCGAGATCTCGGCGACATTGAGAGAACACTTCAGTGAGCAGATAATTTCATGTGTTGGGCCGTTTGATTGGCCACTAAGATCGTGTGATATCATACAGTCAGACATTTTTATGAGGGGATATGTAAAGTAGCTTCGATTCAGGTCTTGGAGTAAAACATTACGCGTGTCATACGCCAGTTACCAGTTAAACGAGCTCGAAGGAGTTATCGAGAATTGAACTCGACATATGGACCACCTGAAACTTAGCCGCGACCAAGATTGGCAATAGATAATGTTCAAACAATAAATGACAAAGAATGTTCTTTCGAATAACAATAAACATTCCCCATTACAAATATTTCCCCCTATAGATATACATATTTTTGAAGTCTGTCTTTATAAACTTATGTATGTGCTTTAACATTCGTACATACATACATATGTATCTGTTTTGTGTTTACATATATATATTATAATCCAATAAAGCCGGGAAAGCCATAATTACTATTTTATGTTACAGAAAATGTGTTTTGCCGCTTTATCGTTGGCGGAAATGCTCATAAAAGTTAGTATATGGATCAATTCCAACTACAAATCAGATGGAAATTTTCATTTGAAGCAAATATACGTATCTTTCAGCACGTATTATTTTTTAGGAAAACATTCACACACCACATGAGGTCTCTATGAGGGCATACGACATGAGCGACCAGAAGCGAATCCATTTGAATTTCACAATGTACTTAGCTGAATGCACGCACTTGCATACACACATAAATGCATCATATGTATATATGTATGTATGTACATAAGCGTCATCGACCTAAACCACTTGTACATGGACCCCCTTAAAGACTTCGTATATGATTAAAATTAATATTGTTGTTTTTTTTGGCACAAGGGTCTAAACCCCGACCACAGCCACATCGTAACCAGCGGAGTATTTCTCTATACATATATATATACATATTTGTATATTTACATACATGCAAATTTGACCAGCAGTGATCGCCACTTTGCCACTTGGTCCACACCAAACCCACTGCCCAATTGCTAAGTATCGAATTTTGTTTTTGTGCGCAATCAAAAATTCACAAGAAGCGCATGACGCAGCCCATTCGGTTCAGCTGTTCTTCCGACGCTGTAGCTGTGGGTCTATAATACCACGAGATAGGTGAAACAACCTGCTAAATACGAAAAGTGCGTCATTTTTCTTTAGACGCCCATAATTTAATGAGTTGAATTTGGGCCAAATCACCGAGAAGACGGCAACGAAAAACAAAAAAAAAAAAAAAAAAAAAAAATAACTGATCAACCCTGCGCGCCACAAGACGACGGCAATAGACGAAACATGTGCAGGAGGGGGGGCGACTGGCCTGTTCGGCGAAACGACGAGTGTGGGAAAAACCAAAACCAAAACATACGCTTATCCACACTTCGCACATTCATTAACACATACGTATATTTGTGTATCTCCGTGCACTCAAGCCAATTTAATGCTTATAAACAACGCACAATTAATTATAAAGATCTGTGGTCAATTTGCTGATGGTTGGAATTCACATACAGAAGATTCGTGGAATTTTCACTTCCGACACATTTCTTCAAAATGGAAGGTGTTCTAATTTATTTATTTATTTTTTTTTTTCTTGTAGTTAATGGCAGAAAGGTATACTATTTTTTATGCTGAAAGATATTTCAGTATACATATGTACATATGTATGTAGTATATGTGTGTGTATTAGAAATGAAAATTTGTCTTGAAGACACACAGTTAATTTTATCGTTTATAATTAGCGCATATTTTTTTTTTAGATTTTCAAAAATATATTTAAATTAAAATATATCTTGGCATAGATCGAAGCGATTTAAGAGTTATTTCCAGTGAACTTTCAGAGTTCGAGGGTTGTCTTTTATATTTCAGGTTTAGAGAATAAAAAAAATGATCGAAAATCGCTTTATTGTTTTTCAAAATATTATCCATCACTTTTCGGCGACTCATTTGGAAACACTCATACAGTCGTCTGCTGTATACTTTCAGTCTCACGATGTTATAGACATGTTTCGAAACACCGGTATCGTATTTTGTAACCTTTCTCATTGTGTGGGATCCAACATGAACACAGTTTTTTTAAGTAAAATGTTCATGCAATATTTAATATGCCTTGGTTCCCCTGTTACCAATAGTTGTCTCAATATCACGATCTTGCAATATCAGTTCAAAAGTTTTGATCAATAGTGTCCGAAACAACAACTGATTTTGGACGACCTTCGCCAAATTCGTCCACTTATAGCCGAGTTAACAACAGCACGCCAGTCGTTTCTTCTTTTCACAAGGTGGTGCCAATTGGAGATTCCAATCGAAGCCAAGTCTCTCTCCACCTGGTCTCTCCAACGGAGTGGAGGTCTTTCTCTTTCTCTGCTTCTCCCTGCGGATATTGCGTCGAGTACTTTCTTTCGGAAACTCGTAACGTCGACTCATCAGATGATGTCATAGACTGCCATGCCTCTGCATCACATGGCAGGACGGAAATAATAAGTGACTTTTAGAGTTTTGTTTTTGTTCGTCAAGTAAGGACTTTACTTCTCATCTGCCTACTTAGTTCGAAGTAGCACCTAGTGGCAAAATATATTCTGCGTTGGATGTCGAGGCTGACGTTGTTGTTGGTAGGTTGAAGAAGTCCCATGAAAGGGAGTCATCTTGTCTGAAACCTCCTTCGGTATCGAACGGCCCGAAGAGGTGATCACTACACCATCGCTAAACACTGTTCTTTGAAAGAGCTGTTGAATCAATCAACAACAGAGCATACTGATAGAGTCCTCATCAATAAAAGCTATGCTGATCGTTTTAAGAAATTCGGGTTAAGTATATCCAGTAGACATGTCTAAAGGAAACATAAAGGCACGCCTGTACTTTGTTAAATAACCTTTATAAAAGGACGTCAAAACTTGGAAAAATGTACTTTGGGACGTTTCAAACCATATCCATATACAAGTAGTATATCTCCAGACATACCACAAAAACATTTAAAATGGTCAAATATCGACAGTTCCGAAAAACTAGCAACTTTTTGGTGAGAAAAGAGCGTGTGCAGAATTCACATCGATATCTCAAATATCTCATTGAGTGAGTAACTAGTTCGTCTGTATCATATATAGACATACGAATAGGGCTAAATCGACTCAGCTCGTCACGCTGATCATTTATGCATATATTTTTAAAGGGTCTCCAACATTTACTTTTAAGTGTTAAAAATATTCCCCCGCCTTTTTATGACAAACATAAATTAAGAAGAAAAAAAGGAAGGCCCCCCCTAAGTTGCGTTTGTGTTAATAGGCTCTAGTTTTTTATTATACATTTTCCATTTATTTTTATACACACGAGACACATTTGTGTTGTGTAAGTATGTTTCTTAAAAGCTTTCATACTGTTTCGCATACCTGTTCGATTTTGGAACATACATGTGTATTTCTTCTAATTATTTCTGTTATTGTTATTGTTTCTATAATGTTTGTGTACGTATTTTGCTCTTAAGACGCAAACCGGGAAACACACGCGGTACGCGGCTGCCAAATTTTCCTCAGCCACCGCCCCCAACCAGCATTTACGACATACTTATGGTGTGTACACGCGCATATCTCAGCGGTCACGACGACTGCTAGCAACAGCTGACATCTGGGAAATTTCTAAATTACATACGAACATATTCGTACGTGTGTGCCTTATATAAATATAATATAATGTATGGATGGATCTTTGTGACCATGTCCATGTGGCTATATACGCGAATATCGTGGTTGCTGCATAGTTTTTGTTGGAATCCGGTAATCTATTTGATGTCTGCTGGCAATTCACATGTTTCTTTGACA